AAGGGTTATTTTTTTAATATGATTTATAAAATTTATGTTGTGTTTCAAAATTGCAATAATTCCACTCGATTTTCAAGAGTTTTCTTTTCGACGATTCATTTTCATGAGCTGTACAATCGTAATTATAATTAACAAAGAAATCTTTAGACCAATCAGATACTGGTAAATTTTGTCCTTGGAAAATTGTATTACATAATGTAAGGTGTAAGAAGGGATGACTAATTGTAAGTTAGAAAGGAGACAGAAGTTGGCATGATGTAATAAGTGTGAGATAGTGAATAATCAATAATCTCGTGTAAAATGGACAGGAACTAGTGGAAAGGCTATAAAGTGTTTTTGTATAAAATATGTATGAAAAACAATGTTATTAATAAACAGTAATAGAGTGGTAATAAAATGTGGATGGTGGGGACAAAATGATAATAAAAGTATCAATAAAATAAAATAATAATGGTAATAATAGTGAACTTACATGATAAAGGAAAGAAGCAAAATTGTGATAAGAACTTTACTCTGGCCATGGTAAGGCAAGAGAATGTATGTATCGCTTTTGTATGCAGAGGTCCGGTTTTAGATCTCGAATAGCTAATGCTTCAGCTATGTACAGATGGCAAATCTGAAGTCCCTTTGTACGATATTGAAGGACTCTGTGTAACACTGTGAAGCATTCATGTGGGGGTGCTCGATGTCCAGAGATGACAAGGTGTTCGAGGATCGAGCTGTTGCTATTCTTCTTTTCTCCTCTGGCCAACCAAGCTGGGCAGTGTTCCAGAATACGTTTTTGGACTTGACGTTGCGTACGGCCAATATACTTCGCTCCACACGAGCAAGTAAATTGATAAATACACAGTAAGGTGGCCAAATGTGTATTTATCAATTTACTTTATCAATTTATCACTGGCCAGCCCATGAATTCTAACTTCTACCAATTCGTGATTTAGCGCGACCCCAACCATTGTCGTTGGTGGGACATCCATCCACACACATGACATCTAATTGGACCTCACTGGTCACGACTTCTCACTAGAACTCCAAGAAACTCCATCCTATAGCAAGTCACTAGCAAGCATCAGATTAATTTTCTATAGTTTGGTTTGTAAGGGTTAGTTAAGTTTTTACGGGTTGATCATGGATTAGGTCACGCTAAATCACGAATCAGTAGAAGTTAGAATTCACGAGTCATTAAATCGGGTCCCAGTGGCTGAATGGTATGCGAGCTTGCCTTGTAACCGGAAGGTCCTGGGTTCGAATCCCAGTGAGTGCGTACTGCCGATAATTCCCAAACTAGGATGAAACAGCAGCTGCCCAGTACTCCCTGGTTTTCAATGGTTCTCTAACTGATATCAATCCTTTTCAACTCGTAAAAACATAACTAACCCTTGATATAAGAATAAAACTTGGGCACTGTGGTAGAGTGTAATTCCATTATGGGTAAATTTTTTATTTTGATAGAGTCTAATAGATATTTAGACTTTAATTCATCTCATCCTGTAACTGTTAAGGCAGGCTTAGTTAAATGTTTAACAAACCGAGCAATGGCACTAAGTAGCACAAAAAAAGACCTTAATGGTGAAATAAAACAGATAGAAGAGGCGTTGGTTTTAAATAACTATCCTCTAAAATTCATTAGGAAGATTGAAAAACGCCAAAAGAAAAATAAAAAGAATTGTGAAACTAGTAGTAATAAAATAAATAAGAGAGAATATAAGTCATCTACAGTTATACCATATAAAGAAGGGACATCTGAGACCCTACGTAGGATTCTAAATAAAGCAGGAATTAGTGTGGCATTTAAACCTACAAACTCACTCAGGGACAAGCTCTGTAGGTTAAAGGACCCAGTGGACCCAATTAGACAAAATAATATAATTTACAAAATACCCTGCAATGACTGTGAGGTCAACTACATAGGTCAAACTAGTAGGTCAGGGGTAGTCAGATTGTCAGAACATAAGAATTTAGCTAAGATAAGAATGGTTGACCCAGAGAAGATAAGTAATTTAGAAAAAAGCTCGGCAATCGCAATGCATGCATTAACACACAACCACACAATAGGGTGGGAGAGGGTTAAAATTCTAAAAAGTAATCTAGGTAGGTAGAGAGAGAGGTTGATTACTGAATCTTTGTTCATCGAATCTACACCCAACACATGCAACAGAAGTGACTCAATGCAAATACCAGAAATATGGAAGATATTATTGCCGCCAGTCAAATCAGAAGAAGATGATAAATAGTCTTAAATTTCTATTTCCATTCAAGCACATCATAACATTCTAACAATCAACTTATTATGACTGTAAAAAACATTCGTCGTATTTCCCATCTAATTGTAATGGATTAATAACACTCGTACTATTATTTCTGAATGTACATTATCTCATATTGAATTTTAATCCAATATCTAGTCGATTCCACACATGTATATAAATGAAGGAAAGAAGTTGTGTGAGTAACTTGATATGATTATGAGCAATAGTTTGTGCTCGAAACGTCATCAGTAAATATTACTGTATAACACTGTGAGACTCTATCAAAATAAAAAATTTACCCATAATGGAATAACTAACCCTTACAAACCAAACTATAGAAAGTTAAGATTTCCGACTGATATTTCATTGAAAAAAAGTTTAAGATTTATTTGATGGTAATTGCTAGCTGCAGTGTTTTTTATGCAAATAATATTTGAAATTAATGATGCATATAAAAGAAAGTTATAAACGCAACTTTCACGAAGAGATGATTTTATTCTACGGTTTGAAAAAGTCGAATTCATACGACTTTGGTAATATTCCATCGTGCTCTGTATATCAGACATATTTATCTGCTCAAGCATGGATGATAGTAGTTTTTGATTTACTGAGGAATTATTTCATATTTGTTTAATATTCTCAATAACACATCATACATGAACTTGGAATATTTGAGTCAACGTCTTCCCTCCTTAGTTGAATATTCCTTAACGTTAAACATGACTGAGTTCGTAGTAAATAAAAACATCAAAAGTTATCAATGTAAACATTAAGTTTTCCTTGTAGCACGATATCTACCAACTGTTGTGTAGAATTTTCTTTCTGTTTGTGAAGTCTTTTTTGTCTTAATATATGTGTAAAACTTGGGCACTGTGGTAGTAAGTAATTCCATATTAGTTTGTTTATTAGGTATATCACACAGTGAAACAGTATTATTTACTGGATGACGTTTCGAATAAAATTTATTGTTCATAATCATATCAATTGTGATCACACGACTTTGACACTTGAGTTTTATAGCTTTCTTTGTTTTCTCCTATTTGTCGTAGGGGGAGTAGAATTTTCCAGATATCGGGGACAGGTGATGAATCATTCCTATTACATGTATTTGCAGTTGATTCGATAAACAAAGCTTCTGTTATCAATCTCTCCCTATACCCTGTGACATTAGATTTTAAAACTGTCATCCTATCCCATCCTATTGTATGGTTGTGTGTGACTGCATGTAGTGCTATAGCTGAACTATTCTCTAGATTTCTTATTTTATTCGGGTCAACCAATCTAGATTTTGCTAAGTTTTTATGTTCAGCTAGTCTGACTGCCCCTGTTCTACTAGTTTGACCTATGTATTTGACCTGACAATCATTGCAGGGTATTAGATAAACTAAATTGTTTTGTTTTAAAGGCTCTACAGGATCCTTTAGCCGACAAAGCTTGTTTCTAATTGAGTTTGTGGGTTTGAATGCCGTTTTTATTCCTGCCTTGTTGAGAATTCTGCGTAAGGCTTCCGAGGTTCCTTCTTTGTATGGAATTACTACTGATGATTTAGACTCTTTATTGTTGGTGTCGTCATCAATATTATTATTATTGTCACTATTATCATTATCATTATTATTGTTATTATCACTATCGCTATTATCATTATTTATTTTATTTTTACATTTCCTTACATATTTCCTGACTAATTTTTCCGGGTAATTATTAAGTTTCAAGGCTTCTTTTATGTGTATCAGTTCTTGGTTTAGATCTTCTTTGGTACTACTTAATTTATGTGCTCTGTCATTTAAACATTTCACCAATCCTATTTTTACTGACATAGGATGGGATGATTGGAAGTCCAAATATCTGTTTGAGTGTGTGGGTTTCCTGTAAACACTAGTGTTTAACTTCCCATCTTCTTTCCTCTTGACGTTGCAATCTAACATTGGGAGCTCCCCTTCCTGATTTTCCAATTCATAAGTGAATTGAATTGCCTCAACCTTCGAGTTTATGTGTTCGAAAAACCTATCTATATCTTGTGTTCTAAGTACAGTGAATGTGTCATCTACGTACCTCCACCATACTTTTGGGGTGGGGGTGAACGTTTCAATCGCTATGCTTTCCCACTTATTCATGAATATATCTGCTACCACTGGGGATATTGGTGATCCTTCCTCTGCGTCTTCCTCTGCGTTCCTAGATGAACATAGGGTTTCATAATTTGAAATTTCTCTTAGAGATGGTGTTTTCACAGGTGGAAGTCGCCACCTTCATGCCCGAAATGCCCTGTTTCCTGAGCTTATTTTCAACTAGTAAACTAGGCGAGGTCTAGAAGTGTGTCTGTTGGGCATTGAATCTTGACCCACGTACGTCACTGGAAGATATTTTACCACTGAAAGACCGATACACATTTGTGAAGAGTAGTTATAGGGAAAATCTTTGAACAATAAGATGTTCGACTTTATACTTTTTCGCCAAATCTTGAAAAATTTAGGGTTTTTGCATAAATTGAGTGTTTTCCAGTAACATACACCGAAAATCATAGAAATACAACATGATGAATTGAATATTCTTTGTCTATTGCAAGAGAAGAGCTAGAAAATAGAAGTCATAGCTGTCTTGAACTACAAAATAGTAGCTAAAAAATCACACACAAAAACTGAATAAATTTCCACGCTATGTCATCACTTTTGCCATGCAACAAAACTGATATGTGAAAGCTTTTATTTTTAAGAAGAAAAATAAAACAGTGTGAATTTGTTAAAATCTTACATAATACCATTAACTGATGTGTTCGACTAATTGATTCTGTCCATTCAATATGTTTGACCACACATGTGTACAGCATACCATCATTATTTCTGGAAATATTGTTCAATTTCAATCTGCTAACCACACGTTTCCCACCATGAATTCCCGGGAACTGTAAAAAATGTAATTTATTTTAAGAAAAAAAGTAGATTAAAAGTAGTTTCACCACTGAATATCTATTATCTAACTTTGCAAAATACCTCAACATAATTTTTTAAATGAAATACGATAAATTTTGATATTTAAGTAACAGTATGCGAAAAACCGTACGTCGGTGGCACAGCGGTTTAACGCTCGCCAACCTCGCAGGTGATTCCAGGTGCGATCCCCGGCCGACGCACTCCTTCACCTAGCTAAGCCACTAATAAGACTGTTAAAGAGGGAAGGTTTGACATCAGGCTAGCAATCCCATCCCTTAAAAGTAAATAACACTGCTACCGAAATTTCAAAGCTCTAGCTTCAGGCCCTATGTTCCACTGGGAGCGGAAAGGGATATAATAATAATAATGTGAAAAATCAAAACTCTCATTTATCTTAATATTGAGTGTGAATTAAATGAAATTATATTAAAGCATATGGAAACTGCTTTCTTTTTATTTCGCAAACACTCGTAATCACATTCACACAACTAGTTATTTAACATGGCCAAAATTTTAATCGTTTCTTTTTGCTTTCAGTATGCCAAAGCTCATGTACGAAATCTGATATTGTTCATTGGTAAATTAACAGGAACCTAAAGTATTTAGATCATAAAAAAACATTTTTCGAGCAGTTTTCTAATTTTGGACTAGTTGGGAAAAACTTTACGAATCAGCTACTGATTCATCTTCATTGTTTGACCTAATCAGCATCCGTAATAACATTAACAATAATTTGTACGATCCGATCATAGAATGAAATATATACTTTGACTGGACCCTAACTAAGGGCATTCGTCCAGTCCTTTTTTTACTGCAGACTGAATTCTATCAGTCAGTTTTGTAATGTGGTCACCATGCTAGGTGGCTCTCCATCACGGTGCACTCATAATTCTTGTTATTAGGTGGTTGGAGGCAACCGGTGTGAGGGCTTGAACCTAGTCTTCGCGTTTGAAGGCACTCACAAGTTAGCAAGGTGTATCTACTATCATGAAGAATCTCCTTTCCTCTCGGAGATTCGAACCGATGTCATCTAGTGCATGATACTATTGAGTGTTCAATAAAAACATTAAATACAACCCTATGGGAGGTCAATCGCGAGACTAAAATAACTTGATGTTAACACCTCTGACTGCAGTACTGCGTGACAAAGAGTTAGAATCTCATGGAGGATATGGGTTCCTTCATGACTGAAAATACGCCTTGCTGACTGGTGAGTACCAACAAGCTCTAAACTCAGTCCAACACTGCCTTCTGATTGCCTCTAACCATCTAATAATGAAATATATTTACATTGTAGCAACATGGTTAAGCTTAACAATAGGAAAAACTAGTGTTAGTCATTCAGAAGATTTTTCTATCAAAGTGAATGATATTCACGAGGGGAAAATTAGTCCAACTTTTCGTTTTGTATCATTTAAAATATGCAGATAATAATAGATTAAATGATAGTATGTTTTCAGAAGAATATTTAGTGACTCAGTGAAGGAATGAAGTTACAGATGAAAAGTGGAAGCACTGTTAGTATCACCTTTGAAGTGAAGAAACATTCTCCATTATGAGGAAACGATACAGTATTGCTTGTAGCTTAACCAAAGACAACATACAGTCATATATATGTATCCTGCAGTATAACTGGTCTCTCTACTCTGAGAATGCTGCTCGTTGGTACAGTGCAAAATCGGAAAGCAGCCCTTCATATGTTAACCCCAAATGTGTATATCACTTTACGTGCAGCTGCAGGAGCAGTTACATTGGCAGAACAGTAAAAATGGTCTACTTCAAATTCCTTGAATATGTACTAAAAAAACTTCTATTAAAGCGACTAAACAGTTAAGACTCGTCAATGACCAGACACCTGGTAGGCACGTTACGTTGAGCAAACACACTGAGAGCATTCAAAATAATTTACAGACAAAACAGCCCAAATCTTCTTCGGTTTAATAGGGCTATCGTAATACAGCAGTTGAAACGTGCCTTTTATGTTCAAAAGAAACACGTTGTGGGACTTAAATTACCTTAATAACCCTTTTATTAGTAATCTTTTGTCTTCTGTCCTCACCACTACGTTTCCCTCTGCCCAGGTTTCTGCTCGATTTTCATACTAGGCCTAATTTTCGATCCCCTCAATTCTACTCACTGTATGAGATCATCATCTTTCCATTCGACTCCGTACGTTGGGATAAAGAGTCCCAAACAAGGACGAAACAGGTATCCAGTACTTCCAGGTTTTCCAACGGTTCTCTAACTGATTTCAGCTTGTGATCATTCCTTAACCAATGAAATTCCTACAAACCAACAAGTGATAATTAATCGGATGCTCACTAACGACTCGTCTTATACACGTTAGGCTCCAGTGAGAAGTTGTAACCAGTTGGATTCACTTAGTCAGGCAAGAGGACAGTTACTCGCCTGTGAAACTGGCTGGCACTTGCGCTAAATTTCTCAAGGGCCGGAAAAATATGCACGAGGGACACATTGATGGATGAGTTTTGACATACACATTCAGTTTTATTATCTAATGGTTATCCGGAACACTTTATCACTTGTCACATGTAAGAAAGACCACATCTTAAAAAGACAGCTTCTGTACCAAACAAAGCTATCTTTATTAAACTACCATTCAAAGGTGATCAGATTATGCAGTTGATAGCTGAAAGACTTCAGTCAGCCATCAAACGCACATTCTACGCCGTATCTCTTTTTCTGACTTGCCGATTATTTTCGATCCCTGTACCTACGATTAAAGGACGAAATTCTATGGACTCTACTTCAAACTGTATCTACAAGTTCACCTGCAGGTGCGGTGACACCTATATAGGTAGAACCAACAGAATGTTCTAATGTCGTTGAAAAGAACATGTTCCAAAATGGCTACTAAATCATATAGAAAATCCCAATGCGAGTAATCTGAATGGAAATCCAGCTTCATCCTTTGCAAAACACTTATTAATGTCAGGTCACAAAATCAATATTAATGACTGTTTCACAATTATTTCACATAACTCTAATTCAAGGTTATTGTAGGGGATGGAAGCACTTTGGATTAATGACATACAGCCTAAACTGTGTGTACAAAAAACAATAGACTTCAATCTTCGCCCACCACGGACAACATGACCTATCTAAATATGATTGGTCATTAGTATGTACTATTGCTTTTAATTTAACTGAGTAATTGTCATGAACTTTATTTTATTATTGTCAACAATGTTAGTTGTAAAGCGGTTGTAAATAAACTACGAAATGATACCACCATCTCGCGAAATTTGTCTTCTAAATGCCTTATTCAAATTTATCAAAGGGACTAATTGTTTTAATATGTATCAAGAATCGACAGAAGATTGAATTCATAGACCATTGGGTCATGTTCCAGTGGTTGAATGGTCTACGTGCTCGCTTCGTAACCGGAAGGTCCTGGGTTCGAACCATAGCGTTGGGTGCGTACCATTGAAGAGTCATGCAATGGGACGAAACAGTTGTACAAAACTAGGAGGTCTCCAAATGTTTCTTTAATTGATATCAGCTTGTGATCAATTCAGTCACACAGATTACTGTCCACCTACATAAGTGATCTTAGTTGTACAGTACAGATTTGAAGTACATCATATTGGTTTGAATAAGAGTCGCACATGTGAAGATACGTTTGTAACCAATTATACGTATTAGTACTTTTTCTTCTGGTAAGCATAAAAACTTGCTTCCCAGTGCGTCAGTCAGAGAACCTATCTTTTTTCCATGTGAAGCCACTATCCGAAATTCGGAACCGCAGAAACAAATGTTTATGAAAAGACACATTTATTTCATTAATTATTGTGTACCTTAGGATAATCTTATAATTAACGTATGCCCATAAAACAATAAAACTGCAGTTTCTCAATAAACAGTTGGTGAATCATACAATTAAATTGCTTTAATTTAGCGTAATAAAGACATCAGATTACATGATCCTTAAAAATAAGATTTGGAAGATTTGTAAATGAACTAAAATTTATTTTTTTATTAACTTAAATTAAATTTCATCAATCACTACACTGTTACCGTGCGAATCGTTTTTCTATGGGACAAAAAAATTTTTTATTAGGAATGCTTATTTTAGCAAAGAAGTTAGCTAACTTTTACGGGCCGACAAAGTAGGATATATCTTGAACTATAATACCTGGATAATACACGAGTTTTCTATAAATCCAATCCAAATCGTTACAAGAATAAATTACTTTTCAAGAGTTGGTTTGTAAGGATTAATTTTGTTTTTACGAGTTTGACCACGGATTGATATCAGTGAAAGAACCATTGAAAACCAGGGAATACTGGACAGCTGTTTCGTCCTAGTCTGGCGATCATTGGCATTATGCACTCACTGGGGTTTGAACTCAGGACCTTTCGGGTACAAGGCAAGCTCGTATACCATTCAGCCACTGGGACCCGATTCAATGACCACCAGCCCATGAATTCTAAATTCTACCAAATCGTGATCTAATCCTTACAAACCACCTCTTGAAAATTTAATCTGATGCTCCACAGTGACTTGCTACATGACGGAGTTTCCTGGAGTTCTAGTGAGAAGTCGTGACCAGTGAGGTCCATCCAGTCGGGAGTGAGGATAGATTTCCCTCTGATGACATTGGTTGGTGGTTGCGCTAAATGCATCACGAATTGGTAGAAGTTATAATTTATTGGCCACTGAATTGGGTCCCAGTGGCTGAATGGTATACGAGCTTGCCTTGTAACCGGAAGGTCCTGGTTTCGAAACCCAGTGGGTGCGTTCTGCCGATGATTCCCAAACTAGGATGAAACAGCTGTCCAGTACTCCCTGGTTTTTAATGGTTCTCTAACTGATATCAATCCGCGGTCAGACTCGCAAAAATAAATTACTTAGTGACTTATCAAATTTCACTTGCAACTAACAGTTAGAACAACAGTGGTTTGTGCAGAATAATATGGTACCATCATTTATTACGCTGGCTTCTTATCAGCTGCTTACAGCCTAAATAAATTACGCATCACAAACATAGTTTAGTCATTATCATGGAAAAGGAACCACAGGTTCTCTTTCTTTCGGTTTATACATTTAGTTGGCTACTTAAACCACTGGGCTACCTAAATTCTCTGTCCATCAAAATGTAACGTATTTACTCTGTTTCATATCCTTTTAATGATCTATATACCGTAATGGGTCGCGATCCATATTCGCGCACAGTTTTAAATTAGTTTCTACCCTCCGCTAGGAAGTTTTGGAAGGAGATTGAGGGAGAACATTGTGGAGTGGTACTGGACCAAGCCTCGGATGGAACAATATTGTATTAGTTGATACAATACGGATAGTAATATTATTTGAAGATTCTGAACAGGGAGTAAATATCTTAGAATGAAACTCGTTGAAAATTCTGTACTGTTTACAAACGCATTTTTCAGAATAAGAGTATCCTTATTATAATTGCTTAGTTGGGTTACAATCCTTGTGTCATCATTGGTTCACCTTTACACTTCTTTCATCTGGAACGCTTTCTGTGGGATAATGCGACGGTCAACTGACAAAATAATCTTCTTAGTGTACAATGTATATCTGTCTGTTGCTTAACACTTAAAGCAACATAAGAATCACTACATATACATAGAAAGACATAGAAAGGCATTGATTGACGTTGATGCCTAAATCATTTTATGTTTCTCTGACTAAATTCAGTCATGTTTTCATTTCAATTTATTTTCAGTTTATACAGGATTAACACCAGTCGAAAAGCATGTTTACTTTTACATCACAGCAGGAGGTGTTATTTCCCCTTTAACATTACATGTAAGACGAATCGACATGAGATTATTCACTTACGCGCTGATGAAAAATCCATACATTTCTAGTCATACTAGTAAAAAGAAAATATCCTTAGGTAAGAGACTACTTATATGTATATGGCATGATGTGCGTCAGTGGCACAGTGATAGAGTGCTCGCCGGCCACGCATGTAGTCCGGGGTTCGATCTTCGGCCAGAGACGCACTCCTTTACCTTGCTAAGCCAGTAGTAGGACTGGTAAAGAGGGAAGGTTGGACATGGGGCTAACAACCTCATCCTGTAAAAATAATCACCACCACTACAAAAAAAATTCAAGCCTCTAGCTTGAAGGCCTACGTTCCACTGGGAACGTAGAACAATAAAAAAATATAGCATGATATTGTTTGAAACTAGTTATATGTAACAGAGGAAATATATTTTCTATCTTGGATCTGAGTTAAATCTTATGGAGTCGGCAATTCTTTATTCCAGAAAATATCAGATTGTCAGCCAAAAAATCTCCTAATTCTTGCTCAGATACTCGGAAACCTAATACCAAAGTGCACTTCACAATAAAACTGGTTGGTAATAATGCAATCTGATGAAGTACCAGTTATCCAAAATTGGGAAATATTTCCACCTTCGAGTATGGGGTTCATCAAGTGACCAGTATTTTTTCGTTTTTTGCGAAGTTTGTGATTTTTACGTTTATCACGATTCGGCGTAACCATAATTAATACCAATTTGGTCTAAATTTAATAGAAATGCTTTGCAAATCTTCAAAGGTACAGAAGAAACTCTTTACGTTATATATTAGTCCACTCACTAGGTATGTCATACAGGGAAGGAATGTAATTTATTGGATAGAGTTTTAAGCACAGTTTATTTTGCTAGATGGTTGGAAGCGATCATCAGAAAGCCGTAGACCTGGGCCTCGTGCTTGTTCGCAGTCATCAACAAGGCGTATCTGTAATTCTGAAGGAACTCATGTCCTTTCTGAGATTCAAAACTGGGCCACTCTATGCTGTAGTCAGAGACAATACTACTGAGCTATTCGGCCTCGCCAAGAGCTCCTTTAGAACTGTAATGAGTAGCTTGTTTGGACACTAGGTGGTAACTAATAACATGCTTCTAGTCCTTCGTTGGATACAACAGAGTGAATTCTATCAGTCAATTCTTGCAACTTGGCCAGCATGCTAGGCTGCTCGCCATCACGGCATACTCAGTCTGCAGCCAACACTAAGGAATAGCTGAATAACATTAGTTACCACCTAGAGTCATATCATAGTAAAATTTCGTTTTTGTAATTATTGTAATTCATGCTGTTATTAACATTTAGCTTCATTTTTCTTCCTGTATCCTGATTTTGGAAGGCTTAGTCAAATACCAAAAGAAATTCATTAAAATCTCTGTGAATTTACAAATCATTAGGACGATTTGTTTTAGAAAATTGTTTTACAAGTCTAAGCATTCGTATCTCAGCTTGTGAGTCAAGCTTTGCAAAATGTTTATGGATTAAGGAAGGTAGCGTAGTCATATAGAATCTGCAGATATTAAATAAACAGTACAAGTTACATGGGTAGAAAAATAATTTTTAGTACTTACTGTTTCAGTTGTAATTAACAAGTTTGATTTAGGCAAAGCTTCAACTTTCATCAGCGAACTTTCCATAATTACATTTTCTGTTGTAGTTTTATGAACACTTCCAGATGAGTTGTGTTGAAACCAACTTATTATTGCTGGAGGATGAGATGATGTTGCTGTACATTCAAGTATTTGTTCACCATATGTTTCTTGAATTCCATTCTGTGGGATTGTGATTAAACTGACAGCTGATGGACAAACTGAATGTTGAGAATAAAAAAATAATAATTTTTATTAATTCAAAGTGCTGTTATTACGTCTGTATCACATATTACTAGATGTACACAAATCTACTTAATTTGCATAAGACCAAATACTACTGGTCGATTGAAATGAGTATTTGCATACGCGACTCACAACAACCGGCTAGCTGGATTATCGAAGTGATTTAAACACCAGATGGCCGTCTCGCTAGTTTGCAGCCATATGACTCTTCTCAGGGAAGCGAATCAATTTAAACCAACTGACTTCTGGCTAGCTACTTGGGCTAACTGATGACATTGTAAATCAAGTTCATAGCCTCTGTAGTACTACCATATGAAGAAGGAACATAAGAAGCTTTACGTGGGATTCTTAACGAGGCTGGAATAAGGATGGCATTTAAATCAACCAATCGACTCTCTCTGAGACAAATTTGTCATCTTAGGGATCCTATACATCCAATTAAGAAAAATAATATAACTTACCAAATACAATGTAATGACTGTGAGTTCAATTACATAAGTTCCGCTGGTAGATCGGAATCACTTAGATTATTATAACGTGAAAATTTAGCTAGACCTAGAGTGACTAACTCTTATAAATTAAGTAACTTAGAGAAAGGCTTGGCCATTGCATTCCATTTACTTGCATGTACTCAAGAAACAGGGTTGGACAAGGCGAGAGTATGATTACATGCCAGTGAATGCAATGCAATGACTAAGCTTTTTTCTAGGTTATTTAAATTAATACGGTCAATCATTCTAGTTCTAGCTAAATTTTGATATTTGGATAATCTAATTGACTCCGATCTACTAGTTTGACCTACGTAACTGACCTTACAGTCATTATTACATGTTATTTGGTAAATTATATTATTTTGCTTAATTGAATTTGTTTGGTTAAAGCATTTCATCATGAGCTGACATTGGTTAGAGAACCATTGGAAAACCTGGGAGTACTGGACAGCTGTTTCTTCCTTCCTAGTTTGGGACTCTTCATCATTACTCACCCACCGCCAGGGTTCGAACCCAGGACCTTCTGGTTACAAGGCGAGCTCGTATACCATTAAGCCACTGGGACCCAATCCAATGGCCAGCTCATGAATTCTAACTTCTGCCAATTCACGATATAGAGTTACCACTAGCCAATGTCTTCGGCGAGTATTCGTTCTCACACCCGACCTCCTGCACCCTACTGGTCACGACTTCCCACTGGAACCCTAGGTAACTACCTACCTGAATAGGGCCAGTCGCCAGTGAGCATCTCATTGATATTTAAGTATTGGTTTGTAGGGATTTGGTTGATTGGTTACAGGATTTCATCATGAGCTGACATTGGTTAGAGAACCATTGGAAAACCTGGGAGTATTGGACAGTAATTTCTTCAGCCTAGTTTGGAGCTCTTCAACGGTGAGCACCTATCCTACAAACCAATACTTGAAAATCAATTAGATGCTCACTAACTACTGGCCCTATTCAGGTAGGTAGTTAGTTACCTGGGGTACTATTTGGAAGTCATGACCAGTAGGATAAAGCAGGTCGGGTGTGAGGACAAACACTCGTCGAAGACATTGGCTAGTGGTAGCTCTATATCGTGAATTGGCATTAGTTAGAATTCATGGGCTGGCCATTGGATCGGGTCCCAGTTGCTTAATGGTCTACGAGCTAGCTTGCCTTGTTACCAGAAGGTCCTGTGTTTAAACCCTGGCGGTGGGTGCGTACTGATGAAGAGTCCCAGTACTAACTGCAGGTTTTCCAATAGTTCTCTAACCGATGTCAGCTCATGATGAAATCCTGTAGCCAATCAATTGTATATCCTGTGTCGATTCCACTTGTAAACACTGCTATAGTTCTACCCAGAAACGAGTTAAATTTCCACTGTAAAGGATCTTTTCCACCACTGAGTTGGTCTCATTTCAGAACATGAAATGCTCCTTAATTTATACTTAAGTAAATAGATATTTTTGTTCATGTCAACTCCGGCCTTATGTCGTCCGTTTACTCAAGTTTTCACGAATAAAAACAGCTACAGGAATGCTGATATATTTGAATATATGCTGACATTACAAAATTCAACGACCGTATTTTGTCACCACAAATAAATAAAACAAGATCACACTAACATGGGCTTACTATTCAGTAGCTAATCAATAGGGGGTGAAACATATTCTTTTTTGAAACAGTGCCTATGTATTCGTTTATTCCCCTGAATTTTTATCAACCCTTTACTATCCTATACAAAATAACCTTATTATTATAATTCCTGAAAAGCAGTAAATCGAAGTCATTCAACTTGTTGGGAAAATCAGTGGGTAGTTGCAAATGAGTCATTAGGAAAGTTTCTTAACTGACAGGTTTAATAAGTTTACAACCACAACAACAACGAAAAACACAACATGAATATGTATTTAACATCAGGATAGGGAATATAGTTATCACTATAAGAGTAAAGGCAATGTCATATGTTGCAAATTGAAACTGAAACTTACAAAACACTTCAATGGATAAATAGACTGTTTTATGATAGTCATGCTGATGTTTACTGGTATAATTCCCTTCTTCATCCCATATCAAATGACAGAATACTCTGGCACCGTTAAACCATGGTCTTGCAATCAAACGTATCTCACTGTATGCTATATAACCTTTGTTGTTAGGATCTTCTTTGGTATTTGAATAGGTATCAGACATTTCCATTTCAAAATCAGAATTTCTTCTAGGTTCAATAGTTGTTTGTTTTTCTGTTTGGTTGACATAATTTCTTTTTGAGACAGCAGTAATATATTCTACGGCAGGTATAAGTTCCCATGAAATTTTAGCTCTTGGATTACTGCCTTTAGAAGATTGACAAGTGAACACTTTGGTACGATTTTCACTGACTGGACCGTGTGGTGATGCTGAGAGTATGGGTTGACCAGGTGGAACTGAAATATGAGTAAAAGCAAACTAGTAAATAAAAGTCTGGTAAAGAGGTGACAGTTTTTCCGCTTTTCTTGTTTGTTTTTTCCATCATGTAGCCTTGGTTTAACTACTTAGTTAATAATACTAGAGAATACTTAGCACTACCAAGCTCTTCAGAGTAACAGAAACTTGCTAAAACGTAAAATATAAGTGTTGGATATCAGTTTAAAAATATTGTACTTGTTAATCTTTGCATTTTCAGTAGGACATGGACGCCCGCCGAGGCTTAAATGCTGTGAACGCTATAATAAAATACGTATTGCTATCTGAAATGTTTTCTTCACTAACCGCAATGGTTTTTATGAATGGGTCAGTCGGATTGTAGAAACTTAATTGGTCATTTCTTCTACACAAAGCAAGTTAGAATGTCACAAATCAGATAACTGAATTAGGTAATTACCGTTGAGTCTTACACCAGTGCTGATTTAGTTCTCCGCTGAACTTCTCTTCATGTTGATCTGATCTACAAAAAACCGGAGCTATGCATACAAAAGAAAATTTTTCAGTCACTTTTAATACCATGTTAACAACAGTGTTTTTGCTTTCTATCAACCTGATTTTTGTTTGCTTGTTTTTGTAAATCCTTATGACTTTTGTATTTCTTCAGAGCTCTTACATAATTCCGTAGTTTCCTTAGTTTATATTTTCATCCTGATTACAACTCATACACTCACTGATTTACCCATCTTATTATGTAACTGTAAAACACTAGTTCAACTCCTCTTATGTGTTGATTATTATTATCAACTATGACTGTGACACGCGCAAGACAACACCAGCAATAAGGAATCTAAATCATCAGTAGTAATTCCATACAAGGAAGGAACCTCGAAAACCTTATGTAGAATTCTTAACAAAGGCAGTAATAAAACTGACTGGTATTCAAACCATCCACAAACTCAATTAGAAACAAGCTTTGACGGTTAAAGGATCCTGCCAGTGGAGACTTTAAAACAAAACAATTTAGTTTATCTAATACCCTGCAATGATTGTCAGGTAAAATACATAGGTCAAAGCAGTAGAACAGGTGCAGTCAGATTAACGGAGCACAAAAACCTAGCAAAATCTAGATTGGTTGACCTGAATAAGATAAGAAATCTAGAGAATATTTCAGCTATAGCACTACATGCAATTACACACAACCATACAATAGGATGGGATAGGATGACAGTTTTAAGATCTAATATCATAGGATGGAGGGAGAGATTGATAACGGAAGCTTTGTTTATCGAATCAACTGCAAACACTTTTAATAGGAATGATTCAACACGTGTTCTCCCAGATATCTGGAAAATTCTACTACCCCAACGACGACAAATAGGAGGGAACAAAGAAAACTATAAAACCCAAGTTTTGAAGTCGTGTGATTACAATCGATATGATTATGAACAATAAATTTTGTTCGAAACTATGGCATCTAGTAAATAATACTGTTTCACTCACTCTGTGATACATCTAATAAACAAACTGATATGGAATTACTTACTACCACAGTGCCCAAGTTTTACACATATATTAATATGACTGTGACTACTCATCACCTTCGTTACTACCCTCTTTCATAAAACATCATATATAAATGAGACTGTATATCCAAAGAAGAGAATAAATTCACTGACAGCAGGCGCTTCACTGAGCTATGTACTTTGTTATCAATTATTTGTAAATGGAGGTTATTTATTAATGGATTTATTCCATGTATTTATAATAAATGGGTGGGAAAGTTTCAGAATAATTTCCGGTCAAGGGTCAAATTAATAAAATTATAATTAAGAATTAAAATGCCATAATAAACAGGGGGCAGAAAACAAACAAATTGGCGTCATAATTATTGAAATTATTCTGGAACTTTTCCACTCATTTATTATAAATACACTCAAATGTTCAGCCTAGTTGATGACTTCGTCGAAAGGAAAATTTTCTTCTAGCCATCATAAACAGGTAATTCTTTTATTAATGACTATCCCATTGCCTTTCTAATCCAAATTTCCTGTTTATTCATGTTATTTTTAAGTTTTTCTTTATCCCTATTTACACTACCATATTTTCATATTCGAACTTCCTGTCTATTTTGTCATTTTATTATTTCTACATATTTAATCCCTGATCGCATAAACAATTATTCGTCACATTAGTTATGATCCCACTAAACGTTTTTACCCAAACATCCTGTCTATTTTGTTACTTCTACATTTCTAACCCGTAATTGCACAATATGTCAATCTTCTCAGTAATTATGATGCTACTTTGTTTGAGTATTATCCTTCCCCCTGTTTATTATGCCATTTGTAGATGTTATTTTATTGATTTATTTCAACTAAATAAACTTTACTAATATTTTGGTTTAAAGTATCTGCTCGTATCCACTTATCTTGGTTTGAAGCAGCACTGAAAAAAAATACTTACATGAATCAGACATGCAAGTATATCCACCACTTAATTCAAAATAATTCACAAATACTACCTTAACCCCAACATCAGAGGCCACTGTATTATTTATTATTCCCTTGCGTTCCTAGTGGAACATAAGGCTTCAGCAACACATATCCACTTCCTACTATTTTTTGTCATCCTCTTCAGATGGGTCCTGGATTGGCCATATTCTCTCATCTCTCCCTTCCCACGTGGTCTCTTCCATTTCACCCTCACACCGACGACCCACTCGTCACTTCTCATAGAGATTCCACTCGAGCGATGGCCTGCATTGCACGCGATATCATTCGATGGTTTCCTCAATGTATGCCCGATCTATCTCCACTTTCTCCTACATATTTGTGAGGCGAAATGTTCTTTGTTGGTTTGGTCTCATAGTTTCTTGTTACTTGTTCTTTTTGGCCGGCCATTTGATCTTCAGTATGGAGCCAGCAAAGAGGGCAGTTGTTGATGAAAGTCTGCAACAAGCTATTGGAAAGCTTCTTCGTGACACGCCCACTAATTTTCTGACCCGCATGGAAGAATTGACTTTTGTGTTGAAAATTCGAATCTTGTTTCTTATGCTGGCTGAGTGAAACAGGAGATTTCTAAACGGGTTTCAGGTTGATAAAGGCGAAGCTTACATTTCCGATTCTGGCTAGCTGGCTTTGACATCTTCATCCATTCTGAGTGCCTGTGGTTGAAAGCGTGCTTCGTGGCTGGATAAGTGAAGGAAGTCACCTCTCTTAAATCTCTCCCGTTGATGACGATTGGTGCTAGTTGTTGCTGTTGTTGATTTGTTAGTTGTCTTAATCACCCCCCTCTTCTCTGTGTTCATCTGTAGTCCTGATTTCGCTGCCTCTTCAGCCAGTTTGTTGGTTTTTGCTTGCAAGTCTTCGAGTTTGTGTAACATTAGACATATATCATCCACACACGAAATCCAGATCTTCTAGTGTCTTTTTATCGGTCGTCCAACGTATTCCTGTCTCCTCGTTTCCAAGGCACAGTCTGAAGCATAGTCCAGTCCTCCACAATTAAGAATATCATAGGTGATAATAGGAAGCCTTGTCTTATTCTTGTATGTACTTCGAACGCCCCGCTGAGTTTTCCGTTGTGGATCTCTCGACAGGTGGCATTGTCATATAAATAGCTGTTGAATGAGGTTGACAAATACTTGAGGTATGCCACAGTGTTGAAGTAGTTTCCAAATTACTTCCTGGTCTACGCTGTCGGAGGCTTTTTCAAATTCAATCAAGCTGAGGTAGAGATTTGAATGTCAATTTATGCTTTGTTCGATGACGATGTGTATAGTTGCAATTTGATCAGCACATGGTTTGCCTTTCCAGAATCCACCTGGTTCCAGGCGGAGTTCTGTATCCAGATCCCAACTGTAGATCTCATTATATTTATTCTTAATAGCAGAATAGGGTTTCAGATTTGTGACAGCTATTTTCCTTGGAGTGTAACCGTTATACCATAAGGCTCACGGTCAAGTTCTGAAGTTTGACAAACATTCGTATTTTTACAGAATCAGCAACACATGTCACACTGCTTCTAGTCCATCCAAATACTTGGATAAATTACCAAAATGAATAATATATCAGTATCTATGAATATGTAATTTTCATATATATATTTTACAATAAATCAAATGTACCTACAGTCAACACTTACAGATAATCTCTGTTTTAATGAATTCAGAGTATATTTGATCTTTAATAACAGGACTTGTAGCAGCACAACCAAAACTTGCAGTATTATCAGCTTCTGTCAACTGCCATATCAACTCTGTTGATTGTACTGATTGGGTTATATTCTCTAGCATATGCTTCACATTGTGTGAATTTGTTGATTGTAGATAAGAGATATTTCCATTGTTTAAGTGAAGTGGTGTACGATAAAAGTGAATCAATGGTCTCGGTTTACCCCCATGAACTTGACAAGTAAAGTTGACCTTAGTTTGAGGTTTGTAAGGTCCAGTCGGGTGAACAGTTAGATTTAAATGCGTTGGAGGATCTGTGTGGTATTTTTAAAAGGTATTTAAAATACATGTTAATGTTAGGACTTAAAATGTATAACAAATATGTTACAAAAATAGTTATCAGTGTTCCAAATAGTATTGTTATTTTCCAGCAATTATGTATTAAAATTATTACTAAAATGCTGAAACGATTCATGTTAATTTCCGGATAAAAATAAGTGAAAGTAAGTCACTGGTGTAAATGCAATTCACAGTCTTCAAATTAGTTCACAACTTGCAATTAACACAGTTTGAAGTGAAATTTCTACACAAATACTTTTCCAAATGGAAATTATTCAGATCGCACCATATATGATTTGAATTTCGAATTTGACTTCACCAGTTCACCCAACTAGCCAACCAGAAAATCGAATAGTTTGAACTGATCCGGCTAATGAACTCGACAACAAACGAACGAAGTGGCCCTCCAGTGTATAGAATCCTTCAGTCTGGCTAGCAGGCTCGACTGGTTGACGTTAGTGGTGTCAGACTACTCATTTCAGTCAATCAGTAGTATATAGCGTAGTGCGTCTTTGGTGTAGATGTTAAAATAGTGCTCATCTTATCGTTTTCAATCTTCTGAATACTACTCATAATATGTTTATTGCTTGATTACACAAGTTTTATTGACTCACTTACAAAGTCACCTTTTTCATGAGAAACTTAGCTTTTATAGGATATATATTTATATACATATAAATAACCTCACCGAGTTTACTAGCTCGCTAGTTTTCTAGCCGGCCCTGAGCCAAGTGAAAGAAATAAGGCTAACCGTCAGGCTAGCTGCCCTACCCCAGGAAACCAATCAAACTGCCACAGAAACTTCAATACACGAGAAAAATATAAAAGAAAAACCTGTTCTTCTCTAGAATCGGAGAAACGAAGTGACGCGAGCTGATAAAAGTCTTCGGTAAGCCAGTCAGACAGCCAACCGATTTGTTTTTCTTTTTCTATAGAACCAAGAATAAGAATGGAGATATGGAATATTCGTTCAGTGTACGAAGTTAGGAAATCTGTCCAGATTGCCAAAGAAATGATTAGTAACTGCATAGAAGTGTTAGAAATCTGTGAAAGCAGGCGGAATGGAAGTGAACTTTCCGAATCCTTAACTGGTGAGGCAGTAATCTACTCCGGTCTGGTCACTCAGACGACAACTACGAGCACTCTGATGAAGTGTCTATCATCATGTCACTAACGACAGACAAAGCTATTGTGTAGTGGGAAACAATCCCCTCCAAGAAAATAACAGTATGATTCAAGTGATAAGAAGGGATGGCTACAATTATCCAATGCTACTCATCTGAAAACAATGCAGAAAATGAGAAGAGAGAAGACTTCTATGTAAAACTCCAGATAGTGATTGAGAACATCCCAAATGAGGACAACAAAATTCTGATGGGTGATATAAATCCTAAACTTGGAGTAGACAATACAGGAAGGGAACTCATCATAACTCAAGAGGCCCACACCGAATAGGAACGCGGAGTTCTTCGCAGCTTTCTGTGACTTCGATGATTTGGTGATTGAAGGACTTCAAGTAAAAACAGAGATGTATGTGATAAAGATAATCAACTAACAACAACATGCACCAACCACTGTCAGTGGAGGAAATTTGAAACAGGTTACTCCCCACACTTATCTAGGAAGCATTGTTTCAACTACAATTGGAGCGGAAGACGATGCCAATAACGGGATCGAAAAAGTAAGATATCCATCACTCTAAAGTCTGTTTCGAAATCTTCTACACTCAGCATAAAGAAAAAACCAGCATTTAAATTACCACTGTCAAGTCAGTTGTTCTATATGTGTCAGATATGAAGCGAATCACAAAGCATTTCAAACAGGCTACTGAAGACTTTTATCAGCAATTGCACCCACTTCATACTGAAGATACGATGGCCAGCCAGAAAGGATTAGCAACAAGAAACTCGGAGAACAAACTAACCAACGACCTATTAACAAACAAATATGACAGAAAATGGAGACCGATTGGACACCACTGGGTGCCTTGTGCTCCAGGCAGAACCTTGAATGGAGCCTGAAAGGGAAACGATCTGTGGAGTATCGGAGGTAGGCATGGTGTAGATAATGCATTGAGAAGGTGTGATACTATGAGCAATCAGGGTTCCAGCTAAAGAGGACCACAGAGGATAGGAAAAAGTGGAGACAGGCTGTTGAAACCTTATGTTCTGCTTAGCACGCAAATGAACATTAATATACGATTTATTTCACTATGACGTACTTTCAATATTGCTTACTGGAGTGATTTTTGATATACAAAACTATGCTGAAGTTGTAATAAAACTGGTTTTATGAAATTCTACAAGTTGTATATAGAAAAAAACCCACAAAATAAGACAGATCCACGTTATTCTGCATATAATATGTTCATTTGTTCTCTTTCCAAATTTATAAAGACGAATTTCTGTATACTTACACTGCTACTACTTTAATTGCACCTTATCTTACCTTCAGGAAATGAATCAAATACCACCGATTCGCCAGTTTACTAAAATAACCGAAATTTACAACTCTGAATACATGTGTAGATATTATTATTATTATTTTGATTTACAGCTTGATTCCACACCGTATTTTCAGTACAAGTATGGAACTTTCAGCACGGATATCGGTAGCCCAAATTCAGGCCGACCATAGATATCGGGTGTGCGCCGGCAGGGGATCGAACCCCGGACCATGTGCATGGTCGGCGAGAGTCCTAACCACCGTGCCACCGACGCACATAATCGTAATAAAGTGTCTTAAAAATTGATTAATAGTTGAATGCCTTTATAAATTCAAGCTGCAACTGACCACTGTTATTCAATTTAAATAAGCACATCACAAATGTTTAGTGTCATCTATTCTGTGTTTTATAAGACTTTTTATATTATCATTATTAATAGCAGTAAGAAAAGATTTTCCTTTTAAGAAGACCTCAAAATCTAAAGTGTTTGCATAGCGCTGTCTGTTTAACGTCTGAGTGTACCATTCGACTGCAGTAAACAGCTTCGTGCGAAAATCTCGGCCACGACAGGACTCTAACTAACGGCTTCTGGAATTTCAAGAGTTTATTTGTAGGGATTTGATTTGTTTCAAGTTCAACCACTTACTGATATCAGTTAGAAGCATTGAAAACCAACAGGAATTACTGGAGAGCTGTCTCGTCCTAGTTGGGGAGTCATCATCATTGTGCACCTGCCAGGTTTCGAAGCCAGGACCTTCCAAATTACTAGTCAGGGACTCTAAGAGTCGAGCTACGAGACCCAGTCGCTAACTACGTCATCTTTACTGAAATCACTACTAGTAATGCCCAGATTTCATGAGAGTAGACGATATATTACTATGAGTTTATGACTCTACTAGCTGCCCAACTAGACATTCTCTTGTCAAACCTAATCATAATGAACAAGTGGGAGAGAAGCAGGTTGTTAAGTGACAGCGAGGCTACTTACGATAGTGTTACTACTTATTGTCAATATGTGATAACCTTACTTCGATCAAGATATTTGTCAAGCACAAATGTACCTAGTCAAAAGTGAACAAAGTATGAACTGTCCTGAAATAATTTGTCCAAATTCATAAATTTAATTAAACATAAAACTTAAAAAGTCTTTTTAAGCATAAATTACTTACGAAAAACACTCAGATGTAGACGTCTAATTGCTGGGTGCTTCGTAAGTTTCATTTTGCCTGTAGAATTACCGATTTTTGATTCTACAATTTCAGATTTATCCCACCATTCATCGTTTACTGCATTTGAACTAGACTGTAATATATGACAACTGTAAATTCCATCGTCAGCTGGTTGTATAGATATCAATGTTAACACGGAGATCGTGTCAGATAAACGTAGAGTAGAGTGTGCTGGAGGCATTTGACTTCCAAGACGACGCCATACAAATGAATACCATGGAGCATTAGGACTAGGAGCAGCTTCACATGTTAACTTGACATTATCTCCAGTCAAAACAGGACTAGGTGGACTTGAGGTTAGTGATAAAATAGCCGGTCGATCTATAATAGTAATAAAAAACAAAGGTGCATAAAATAAACACACAGTGGGAGACTTCTTTGTAAACAATATAATTACAAAGCTCAACATTTTGAATCTTAATATGCCGTGAAGTTAACAAAACTAAAAATTGAGAAATGTGACGACATTATGAAGAAAGTGTTTCAGTTTTACGATTCATAAAACTATTGAACAACTTTCCTAATAAATATCAGCGCGAAATCTGAAGAGCCTTCCGAAATGAATAAGAGCACTTTCATACCTAGTGCGTCGATGAAACAAAGGTAGAATACTCGCCAACCACGCCGCATGTGGTTCGGAGTTCGATCCCCGGTAGACGTACTCCTTTACGTTGCCAAGCCAGTAATAAGACTGGTGAATAGGGAAGTTTAGGCATGAGGCTAGCAATCCAATCCTGTAAAATATAAGCACCACTGCTACAGAAACTTCAAGCCTCTAGGGGAACGTGAAGGAATTAGAAAACTATCATACCTGTGTTAACAAAACGAGAAAACCAGGGTTAGTTGAAGGAAAACTTACAAGCAAATTATTGTGTAATTCTAAATGCCTTACAAAAGCATACATTAGTTTGAAATATGCACATCCACCTAGTTGCATAATTTAGTTCTACTGATCTAGGTAACAGCAGAATTAGGTTGTATTTTGCAGATCGCGAACAAGAAAATGCTTCTACTGTTCCATATACAATTGTAGTTTGTCAAACAGTAATGCGTGTGTAAAGGCAGAAACAAATAACTAGTTTTCAAGTATTGGTTTTGTAGGGATTTTGTTTGATTGCATGGAGGATTTCATCATGAGCTGACATCAGTTAGAGAACCACTGGAAAACCTGGGAGTACTGGACAGCTGTTTCGCCCTAGTTTGAAACTCTTCAACAGTACGCGCCCACCGGGATTCGAACCCAGGACCTTCTAGTTACAAGGCGAGGTCGTAGACCATTGAGCCACTGGAAAACGATCCAATGGTCCTTAAATTCTAACTTCTGCCAATTCACGATATAGCGCGACCATTTCGAAGAAGACATTACGCGTACTGTTGAAGAGTCTCGAACCAGGGCGAAGCAGCTGTCCAGTACACCCAGGTTTCCCAGTGGTTCTCTAACTGATGTCAGCTCATGATGAAATCCTCCATGCAATCAAATAAATAGTTCACTGTCATTTCTTACTGTGGGTTATAATGTACAAGCAACAGGCCAGATGCAGAAAAAGGAATGGTTTTGTTTCCACTTTTATGATCACTTTACACTACATACTGAAATGAACTTATTGACAGCTATTATAAACAGTGTGTAAACGAGTTTGGATTGCGTGTTAAATGTCAATTTTTAGGCATGGTTTTCTGTGTGGATTCGGATTAATTTCAATGTGGACTTCATTAAGGAGCAACGTCAATTAGAGATCATCGTAAACCAGGGTGTACTAGACAGTTGTTTCATCCATCTTTTGTACTCTTCATCAGCGCGCATCCGTGACCCTACGAGAGATCGATCCTGGAACCTTCAGACACTTTGGCTGCGATTCAACAACTCGTGAATTCTAACTACTGTCTATGGGTGGTATTAATCTACCCTCAACCAATGCCTTCAATGACATCAGTATGACACAGTAGATCCCACTGTCCACGACACCTCAGTATAACTTCAGGACATCTATCCGGTAACCATCAATTAGCTGGATATTGATTTTTACGTTTATGAGATTTTGTAGGGATTTGGGTTAATTTCACAGAGCACTACACAGCTGTTTTGTTCAAGTTTGTGAAGTGGTGAAGAATCTCAAAGCAGGACGAAATAGCTGTCCAATGATCCCTGGTTTTCAGTAATCTTTTAATAGTGCTAATTCTTGACAAGATCAGTGTACAATATCTTGTTTCTTCATTACAAATTACAAATTACCGTTGTAATTTCAGGTAGTTTGCAGCTGATGAGAACCTGTGAAATAGAATGATATCATTTTATACTGCGGATATGGTCGTTCTGTTTCTATCGAAATACTATGATTATTTTGAAGTATTTAATAAAAAGTACTTAGTGAAATTAACATTTCATAAATATACTATCCCAATAAAGGTTTGTCATTACTCACTATTTGGTGCATAACCTAGAATGCGAATTAAAATATATTCGCCATCCAAGCGACACTGGTTTAGTTTAGTTCTATTCTAGTTTTCTAAACTTAGAGTCTTCATGACAGACACAGGCATAACTTAAGGAACGTAACACAAACATTCAGGAAGAAGATAGACTTCCCTACTCAGATGTTAGAGTAGTGGTCAAGATTGGCAACTCAGGTGGATATTTTTGATATGGTTAAGTTCTCTGGGCTAGTTGGTTTAATTGTGAAGCTTTCACCGTCTTTCTAAATATATTATCAATACTTGTTTCAGTGTGAAGTAAAATTTGAGACATCGTACAACTTTCGGTACAACATACGTTAACAACAGCTTCCAGTACTCTTATTTTATGTACCATAAATACGCAGTCAATTATACGAACTGTCATACTTTCACGTGTGTCGGTGGCACAGTGGTTAGGACTCTCGTCGACCATTCACATGGTCCGGGGTTCGATCTCCGGCTGTCGCATACCTGAGATTCAATGTTCGGCCTACAGAATTTGGGCTACCGATATCACATTCTGAAAATTCCATACTTGTATAAAGAACAACGGTGTGGAATCTAGCTACAATCAAAAATTTTAATTTAAATTTTTAAGAAAAATGGATCGAGGTCAGTGTATATTTCAGGATAATTCCTACACCTGGACATGACGACGCCTAAACAGTGCACCAAATTATGTATTATTTGAAAACATATTTCTGGAAGTCAACAGGAATGCATCTGACCTAACCTGTTTACTTTGTCTGAAGTTATTCTTATATTTATTATTATTTTTTATTAATTTTGATTATAGCTCGATTCCATACAGTACTTTTGGTACAATTATGGAATATTCAGCATGTGATATCGGTAGCCCAAATTCTGTAGGCCGAACATTGAATCTCAGGTATGCGACAGCCGGAAATCGAACCCCGGACCATGTGAATGGTCGACGAGCGTCCTAACCACTGTGCCAATATACTTTTTAAACGAAACCAGAGTAGAAATGAAAGACAAAGAATTACCTCGTACAAGAAGTTCCAAACTGTTAGAATGATATCCACCATATGAACAACTCCACGAACCAGTAGAAGTGATAGTAGCAATATCCACCTTATAGATTACTTCTTGTAAACGCCACTCTTGTGCATCATTTGAAAATTCTGTAGATCTAGACCAAATTAAATCTGAATTAGATACTATTCTGAACTGTCTAGTACACTGAAATGGCCAACTAGAGTCTACCAGTAAACAATCTTGAGCACAGTAGGCAACACTCATTGGACAGAATAAAAATACTGACTGCTCGGGTTTATGCACTCCTGTGTTTATGGCATATTTAAGACTTGGATCAAAAGTCCATATACGACATACAAATGTTATTGATTCACCAGCCTGAACTGTTGTAGTTTGTGTTTGATTTTTAGTTGCTTCATCCCATAGTGCTTCAACAATTATACTATCATTTTTACTGGTGGATGTTTTCAGTTCTAAATGCTGTGATGTAACATTTTGATCATCTTGAGAAGTATATACCATATTGCAGCAGCAACAGTGTAGTACTGAAAAAAATAAAACAGGAAGAATTGACCAGAGGAGATAATACACAATTGGTTCAAGTAGCATTATTTGTATCAAACAAAATACAGAAATATTTATGTGTGGATCCTAATCAAATTTACCAGATAATATAATCATATCCATGTGTATCTATCAGTTTACCTGCTCTTGTGGAGCAAGGTACACTGACCGTAGTCAGAGGACGCTTTCCACACGGATACGAGAATATATTCCAGCATGGTTTTACAAGGGAGAAAGGAAGTGCGTGCGAAGCTCTATTCTAAAACACCTGATCCACTTCTGCCACTCTTTCAACCCTGACCATGATTTCAAGATAATATATAGAATCCATGCTAACTTTCCGCGTTTTCTTCGTTACAGATTTCTGAAGACAGCTGAGGCCTTGGCATTTGATGAATTTAAGCCAAACCTTTGTGTACAAAAGAAGTATGTACAATCCCTACTTCTGCCTTGGCCGTAGAGGGATAGACATTTATTTATTTTGTTTATTTAGTTATTCTATGCACCTTTCCCTTATTAGTACGATTATTATTATTCTCACTCTGAATTATTTCCACTTGTCATTTTAAACCCAAAATTATTAATTTTTATTTTTATTTTTACAATACTGAATTATATCATATGAAATTTAACACCATGTTATGCAACATTTTATATTCGCCTACTAATCCTATAATTATGTATCCCTTTCCAAAATCTATACACCTTATGTATTATTCTGTATATGACATTAATTATTTTGCCACTTGACATTGTACTATGATTATAATCACAAATATTTTAATTGCATTTCATACTACTATTATTATTTCATGAATTCACACCCTTGACCTAATTCCCTCAACGGATATAATTTCTGTAGAAAACCATATGCATACCATTGTACAGCTTGATAACAAATTCGTTGAAATAAAGCGTCTTCGCTGAATATTGTGTTCTTAATGCTACAATGGAAATTATTAAATTATGATCATTATTTGTCAATTGTTAGTTAGTAGAGATTTGATTGGCTACCGGATTGATCACTAGCAGACATCAGTTTAGAGAACCATTTGAAAACCCGGGAATACTGGATAGCTGTTTCATCCTAGTTCGGGACTCTTCAAAAGTACACACCTGCCAGGGTTTGAGCCCATGACTTTCTGGTTATGAGGCGAGCTCGTAGACCACAAGCCACCAGAACCTGACCAAATAATGCATTAGTTCCAAATTCTGCGGGTTCTTGAGATATATATTTAGCGCAACCGCTAGCCAGTGTCATATTTTCTAGTGCATACACAAATTCTTAGCGACCCTGAAGTATACATCTTGATTGGATGTGCTTTCACTGACAAATTTTAAACTAACATCAATTACTTTCTGCCTGAGAACAGGACAAAATGGAGATATACTGATGATGCCCTATGTTCCACTGAGAACCCAAGAGAATAATGATAACAGTAAACTCTGTGCATGAAGGATAGATGAAAAAACTGCAAGTTTATTACTTTTTATTCTCTGATTGCACTAAACATGTCTGCTAAGTAAGCCGGAATGACAAGCGTAATTCCCTAAAATTCCGAAATGAAACTGCTACGTTCCGCAAGTTCGTAGAAGCAGACATCATATATGTCCAAACCAATTTCACTTTTAACAGTTTGAAAAAATTTGGGCATTGGGTATATGATATTCATTATAATAAAGGTTTTCTTGTATTTCTCAATGATTACAAAACAAAACGATATTGTTTTTACTAACGTTAGCTATTTAATGCAACTAATAGCTTTATCAGAGTATTATTAAACCAGTATTTACAAAATCTCAGTATGGAGTCATTTTTGCGTTGTCAAATTGGCCAATTGGTAAAGATAACAAAACCAGGTGTAGATTGTTGGATTTGGTAAGTGTGTAAAATTGTAAAAGCAGTGTGTTTACATAATGAAATTGCTTATCACATCCGTGCTGATTTCGTCATTTCATGGAGAAGGGAGGTGTTGTAACTAGGTCAAATTCTTTTTCAGTTCGTCATTCCTATTCAGACAATGTGGATTCCACTTGATATGAAGTGCTTCTGATGATATGAGACATTCTTTGTGATTTCTGAAATTTTCCTGGATGATGATTTCAATATTGTCAAAATCAATTTTGTGGCTTGATTCTATAGCATGTAGACCTATGGATGATGATTTTCCAAGCTTTTCTAGTTCAACTTGATTTCTCGGTGGTCGAAGAGATGCTCTACGGTGTTCATTTGTTCTGATTTTGATTTCTCGAGATACTCGTCCAATGTATATCGCATCACATTCCAGGCATTTTATTTTATAGACACAATTAGATAGAGAATCTTTAGGGATTCGGTCTTTTATATGGAGAAGGTTGCTTCGCATTGTGTGAGTCTGATGTTTTGAAGAAAACTCTGATATCGAGCTTATTGAGTACTCTCCTGATGTCGTCTGATGTCTCTGCTCTAGATGGAATTACAACTGTTGAGGTTCATGTTTTCGGAATACCTTTTCGACCATACTTGATGTCAGTGTTGGTTTTGTTGCTGAATTACTTTGGGTAGTTATTTTGCTTGAGACTCTCAGTAATGTTTGATATTTCTTCTTTTTTTTCTTTCTCATCCGTTAACATCAAAGAGTGTGCTCGTATAAGAAGACTTGAAACAACCAATACCTTTGCACTGATGCGGTGTGATGATCCGAAGTCTAAATATTTGTTGGAGTGAGTTTTCTTCCTGAATATGGATATACTAAAATGTGCGCTTTCCCTCTTCTTAACTAGCCAGGCAGTCTAGAAAGGGTAGTTCACCGATGTCTGATTCTGCTTCCGAAGTAAACTGGATTCTGGAAGATAGACTGTTTATTTTCTGCAGGAATGAACTGTGTAGATCTCAATTTAGCACTACAAAAGTATTATCTATATATCTTAACCATATTTTAGGAGTGACTATGCTTGAAAAGATGTTATCTTCGAATATATTCATGAAAAGGTCAGCGACTATTGGAGAGACTGATGAAACCATAGCGTGTTCTCACATCTTAACTCTTTGTTAAATATACATATAAACTGAGATTTTGTAAATTCTAGTTTAATAATACTTTCATAAAGCTATTAGCATTAAATAGCGACACGTCAGTAAAAACAATATCGTTTTGTTTTGCATTCATTGGGAAATACAAAAAACTTTTATTATAATGAAGACATGATAAGTTTTATTTGCTATTAGCAACCCAGCCAGAAACCGAACTCGGGACGTTCAGGTTATGAGACTAAGCTCAATGACAATTCAGCCACTTGAGTCGGAATTCAATGGCCCCTGAATGCATATTACGAGTTGACGAAGTTAGAATTTACCGATCAATGAATTTAAACCCTAGTGGCAAGATGGTCAGTGAGCTTTTTCTCATAACCTGAAAGTCGTTGGTGTGATCCCTGTTGGGGTCATAGCTGCCCACTGAAGAAGACTTACAAAATAGGACGAAACAGTTATCCAGTGCCATTTGGTTTTCAGTCATCTCTCTAAATGATGACGGCTCATGACGAAAGTTTAACAACTGAAAAAATGGTTAGTTAATTGAAATACAAGTGCAATCTATAAATCTTTTAAATGTATTCTTCCATTAAAAGTTTAAACTTAACGACCCATGTGTCCACCTTTTTCTACCATATCAAAAATTGTGTTCTTCAAAACACAAAGAATAGGAAATATTGACAGAATGTTGTCCAGCAGCCGCTGAACTTTACTTTTTCCAATGGATTTTTTAATTGGTAAAAGGGTTTTCTGCTTATGTGGTTGAAATTTCTTTCTCCGTATCACTGAATAAAGTAATCTGATGAGTGGTGACTAGCAGGGGAATCCAAGATGCGCACTCATTTCCAAGTACTGGGTTTGAGTCCCAGAGGGAATACCATCACTTGCCTTGAAGTGTAGATATATTCGGCCTATACGTCCCAAATAGGGCGAGATGGGCATCCTGGATTCCAATTCTAGTCACCATCCACCAAACTACTGCATGTTAAATCTCAGACACTGTCGGAGTTTCCATACTAGGAACCGATATATCTACACAGACTGAACATTCTAGTCAAAACAATCAACAGGCGAATGAAAACTGACTTAAACAAATACTGACTGAACAGAATTTATTCCTTGTGCCAATTATATTATCTTACGATATTTAAATTGCTCAACAAATGTATCAAAGAAAATTGAGAGATATCGGACACACTCTGAGGAGACCATCGGATGACATTGCACGTCAATCAGAACCTCGAGTGGAACCCAAATGGGATATGGCATGTTGGGTATGATTGGTGACATGCAAGATATGGTGTAAGGAGGAGACAAGCATCTCTGGGCAAACATGTGAACAGACAAAGGGGACCACAGAGAATAGAAAAAAGTAGAGATGTGGTGTTGAAGCCGTATGTGACAATATCATATAAATTTAAGCCTGCAGTCCGAGACAGTTGAAAGTTATGTGGAAAAAACGAGTGGTGATTATATTTTCTGTAAGTTATCAGTTATCCCATCATAATTTGATGGACAGATAGAAAAATTTTTATATTTTTATACACATGTCTGAAGCAGAATTTGTCGCTCGATTAAGACACAACATATGTCATACAGAAAATACAAAACAGAAAGCCTGAGACACATAATGAATGTGTAGAGAACATCAGTTAAAGGAACATGAAAACAAATTTTATAAACAATTTGGAAGCTTTCACATTTTAAATGCTACAGACAACATATTGTAGGCTTGACACATAGGTGTAGTGTAAGTCAAGTGATTTCTCTCATTTCTTTCTGACGATAAGAATCCTAACAGCTTGTCATCATACTTGTCAATTTGATGTCTATGCTGTATTTTCCGTAATTTGGAAACTATTTGAACACTACTGATTGTCCAAAACCTTTATCAAACTCATTCAAAAGCTAACCAACAGTGCCACATACCAAGTGAACCAAAACAGAAAATCCTAAGAAGGTATCTGA